TTAAGCCCAGGACAAAAAAAAAAAAAAACATGCACATGAGTGATGCCTCAAGTTTACACTCTTCAAGTAAAGATTGAAAACGAATGAAGAAAAAAGACTGAAAGAGGAATTGAGAGATAGAGAGTGAAGGCCCACATGTGGAAGTCATTATTTGGACCAAGGCTCTAAAACACAACATTTCTTCTGACAAAAAAAAAAAAGAAAGAAAAGAAAAAGAGCTCCCCTTCTCCACCTCTCTCCTCCCCCTGTCTGTACAGGAGGGGCTGGGGTCTCAGGAAACGGCTTGGATTACATTGCAAATAACGGAACGGAGATGTAGGAGAGAAAAAGAGGAACAAGGGATGAAAGTGTGAGGGGATACACTCTGAAAAGAGTAGAAATGAAAAGCAGAAGGGCAAGAGAGTCGTATGATGTTGCTATCAGTGATTGAGTCTGGCGGACCCATTGTGTAGGAATTTTTGTGGAGCGTCAAAGGAAGATTTTTTTTCTGCAAATCACTTATGTTTAGCACAATGTTTAAAAACCAAACTGAGTTAGGGTAATTTATAAAAAAAGTCAGTCTGTCGTCATTTATTTACCCAGTTATTAAAGCTCTAAACAGTTCATGACCTGGAGCAAGTCAAATAAAATAAATAAATACATGTCTTATAAATGTGATCCTTACTTCCTGCATACCAGTTTTAAGTCTTGTGAAACAATGAGATTTCTTTGAGTAACACATTATTTTAATATATTGTCATTTGTCAGGTCAGTCGAGAATAAACACTTTTATTAAAAAATGTTTAAAGTTAGTTTTTCAAAGTAACTTACTTCTGTTCAGCGCTGATGGCTTATCTTTATCAAACGTGACAGAGAAGGCAATTCATGTTACTTTACTTTTGTTTCTTCCTCATCAGCACCTTCCCTTTTTAGCTTTGTTCAGCTTTGTCATTGTTCAACATACTAAAGTGCAATGTTATTCTCACAAATAAATCGATCTAGGCGAGAACATTCGGTTTGGTCAGATGGAGATGAAAAGAAAGTGCGTCTATTGCATATTACACGACCGAAAATCCCTGTTTTTCATGTTACTTTTCAGGGCTTTCCATGTAGATTTTCAGGAAATTTTGCTTTTTAAACCTTCCATTTCTCAAATAATTTTAACATAAAAAAAGATTTTCCATTTTCAATGGACAGTTTCCATAAAACATTAAACAGTGAAAATGATTTCTTGATTCACGATAAGAAATGTTAATGAAGGATTTTTTCCTCAAGTATCACCTGACAGTGATGAAGTTTAACCTGATGCTGCGCAGACTGATTGTAATATGACATCAAAGTACCGTGAGATTCTTTATTAAGCATTTGGGTTGTTGTAATCTTAATGGACGTGTACTATGATCTGACAGCACAGCTTCTAATTAAACCAGCCAATTTGAATGTTAATACTGGATTGAAAGGGCGTTATCAGTGGCTATCATCTAATAGATATGGGCCAGTATAGGGGGCTTTTTGTTATCATCCATTAACATGGTTAATCAGATATAGATCACATGCGGCAGTTAACGAGAATTATTTAGATTATTTAATAAATTTCTCATTTATTGTATTTTATTAACGTTTACAGTAATGTAAAAACAGATCTGGATCTAGAGTCTTCTCTATTAGTACAGCTGATTTACCATGGGAATTATTTATAGTATTTATCAAATTATGTATTATTTGTATTTTATTAACATCTACCCCTACCTCAACCCTAAACCCAACAGTCACAGTGATGTAAAAACATATCTAGATCTGGAGTCTTGAGTTGGGTTTAGGCTTGGGGTAGGGGTAGATGATAATAAAGTAGAATTAATAGTAAATGTAATATAATATAAATTTTTTTTTTTTACTTCCGGTTCCAGCTGTATATGATCTATAGCCAATTAACCAAGTGGATGGATGATAACTTTAACTTACCAGTTGAACTTACCAGTAGGCGCAGAAGGCCCCTACTGGCCCATATCTATTAGCTGATAACCACTGATAACAACCATTCAATCAGGTAATAACATTTCTAATTATCACATTTCTCCTTATCAGTAAAGTCACCATAGCAATAAATTACATTTAAAATATATAAAATAGATATTTTGTTGTAATACAGTTTCACAAAACATTACTTTTTGTACCGACTCCAAACAACAACTACTTTTCATTCAACAATCCATTATTTTAAGAGGATCTATTACAAACACACAAGATGTATAAAGCATTTTTACATTCCTTTTTGATATCTACAAGAAATGTTACTTTTACCTTCCTTTTGGGCCAAGAAGACTGCAGTCATCAGCTATATTTCTATCCACCTATTTTTAAGCACATTTTGGATATGCGCAATAAAAATTGGTTGATGGAAATGCCATGATGCACCTCAGTTTTGAAAATGCGCATAAAAACATATTTAATTTCACTGTCAACTTAAATTCAATGTCAACTTTTACAGGTTAAACTTCAATATTTGATAAGAAAAGATGCACATAAACTACGATGGAAACACTTTTACCGAACAAATTCCAGTATGCACATCAAAAAATGTCATGGGATTTTGTTATAAGAAATCACATGATAAAAATGTGTGCGAATGGATAAACCAGCAGGCTGAATTTGAAATTTTGAAATGTTGTTTTGGTCATTCTAAAGCCGCCTTTCCACTGCACACGACATTTGGACACGACTGTAGGAATACGCCCCCTTGTGGCAGCCGCACAGTATTTTCAATGTTGTCGTGTACCACGGGGGAGAAGCTGATTCTCACGGTGTCCGAAATAAAGATGACAAAAGCAAGAGCCTTTATTCTCTGTGCGTTTACATAGTTTAATGGATGAATGAATACTAGAAACTCATAGACCGCTAAAATATTGGAGGGAATGTGGAGACAACATTATAAATATATATAATTTTTTTACTTTCTTACTTACATTTATGAACAGAAAAGTTTTTTTTAATAAAGAATTTTTATAATTAAAAAAATAACCAAATAAACTCCTATTTCTCATCTCGCGTGCACGGATCTGCTTGGACAACACTGGAGTACATCATATCCGGTCGGCAGGTCGCATACGGTCTAGTCGCAGGAGTTCAAATATTTCAACAGATCCGCAGCTCAATTCGGATCCAAATTTTCCACATACGGAGATGATCGGAACTCAACGCAGCTTCCGGACTGCTCTCCAATGGAAATTAAAGACTTCCGGTCTGCCGCTTGTCTTTTGTCATGTGCAGTGGAAAGGAGGCTTGAAACGCCATAACCATTCGATTATTAGTGTTATATTATTAATGACCTCCAAAATTGTCAAGAGCATATGTGCTCCACATTTCACTCTTTCAAATGCCACCAAAAGTTCATTGCTTGGAGTGTCTTCTGAGATGCAAGTCATTTATCAAATAAGGAAAAGATTGACACCTCTCCTACCTTAATAAATTCTATTTTTACTTTTAATATTTGGCACCAGTTAATCAGGAAGTGAGATTTTTTTCTCCGATTCTTTTATACAAAATTCCAGTTTTGCACATAAATTTAATTCGCATTTTTAGATGGAAACATAGCTAAATTGTTGGATAAAAGTTGCGCAGTACTTATTTTAAACCAAAACAGGGGCTGGTTGCACCACCAGGGCATAAGTTAAAATGTAGCCTAGTTGTGACTTAAAGGAAGACAGTTTACAACTTACATGCTTACATGCAAACTTACATGCTACTAAATATTTTTGTGTTGCACCACTAAACATAGTTAAAACGTAACGCCACACTCCAACTAAACATTTACGGCAGCCTCCCCTCATGTACGTATAATGGTAGAAAAGAGATAACAGCGAGCTTAGTTTACATTGAGAAGAGTTCAAATATTTCAACAGATCCGCAGCTCAATTCGGATCCAAATTTTCCACATACAGAGATGATCGGAACTCAACGCAGCTTCCGGACTGCTCTCCACTGGATATGATCATTATCATAATAATCTGAATGATCTTCCTTTACTTATAGCCTTAATTTCCTCCCAAAGCTTGCATTTTTATTGTTTTGTGAAACAAGAGTTTAACTTTTTTTCAAGGAGTGTTTTGTGTTAATTTTATTCTCTCTGCTTTTTTCTCTTTTATGTGTAGGATATACAGTACATTAAAAAAATCAAGTTTAATGTTTTGATACTGTGTATTTCAGGTGCATTCACTTGATGCAGATGTGTGCATCATCTGTTATTAGTGACTGCCTGTAATTTAATGTGCTATACAAATATAATTAATAATTTCATTTTTATAGGACAGTCGTATATAGATGCATTAGTTGCAGAATTTTAAAGCACTTTAATGGTTGAAATGCTTTTTATTGGATATTACGTCATTTAATGCGACTACGCATGACTTTACGAAAAGCTTACGACCTACTAAATACAGTTTTACTTAAGAACGTGGTGTAACCGAAGTGAGAACAAATTTAGTTACAAACTACCTAGTAGTTACTAAGCCCCTAGCGTGGACTTTACGTTCCAGTTTACGAAAGAACTTACGATCAGCTGGTGCATCCCTACCCAGTCTACTAATGTTAGGATGAGCAAAAACAATGACCGAATTTTTACTTTTAGTGGAACTATTCCTTCAAACAACTGCTACACTATCTCTCCATGTCCTCCTTGACTCCTTGCACCCCTCCTTTTCTGCTCCCCACGAAAACTTTCTCTCTTTTTTTTCATTCCAGAGGGGCCCACTTCCTGCCTGAGTTTTTAGAGGCTGAAAAAAAAAAAGTTAGAAATGACAGGCTGGCGTTAAGAATACAACATCTGGTACCGCTTTAGTGAGAGAGCGGGAGAGAGAAAGAGAGAGAGAGATGGGGCAGGGAAGTCCGGAGGATGGCTGGGAGTACCGAGAGAGGACAGAGGGAGAAAGACAGGAGAGAGTCGGACCAAAAGATCGAAAGAAAGAGAGGAATTGAGAAACAACGGACCACTCCAAAAAAGTTTATTCCCCAAGGGTCCCATCAAACCTTATATGGCCAGTGGGGTCCCTCCCTCTCCTCTCTCCCTCTCTCCTTCCTTCTCTGACTCCTCATTCCCTCCTTTTTGCTATGCCTTCCATGAGCGTCCTGCCAGATAGCCGGCTCTGGGAGCGAAAGTGCCACGTCAAGGCTGGATACTGCAAACCGTCGCAGGGAAGCAGCAGATCAACAATGGGTAAACGAACATCTGGAGTGTCTCTCTCCAATGGCGTCATCCCGACTGAGAAGCAGATAGAAGCAATGGAGACTATTTTGGTGGTGTTTATTTTCGCATCTTCTACCGCCTCCTGAGAAGGTCGAGGCCAGCAGGGTTGGACTGAGTGATTGAAGTAGATAAAGAGTTGAAAAGAGAGAGAGAGGGAGGGCTGGAACTATCTCCTGCTCCGTCATCCCAGTGTTCAGACTACCTGTTCAGGATCATACTGGTGTACAGTAGTCTGCACATTGGTTAGACTGTGCATGGACTCCCGGCGATGAGGAACAAACTCTCAAACGCAAGCAAAAACACACACAACGACAGGTGAAAAGACTCTGATTGGTTTTGTTACTGTATCAACACCAATGTTGGTGAAATTGCATGTCGATTCAAAGTTGGCGGTAATGGATAAAAGGTTCCTGATGATTCAATGCTTAGACGTTCTTCATTACGTGAAGCTAAACCTAGCATGAAAATGAAATTACAAGTAAAACTTTCGTGTATATGTAAACATGCATGCACTCGAGCCACATATGGTTTATATAAAAGCTCCAGGTGTCCGGCTAGTTTTACGGTTTCAGCCTTGAGATGTTCTGAAGGCCTTTCGAAGTGTTCATTTAGCAAGAATTACAGCGCGAATGCATGTTAAGACACAGATGAGAGGTGAAAAGAAAGTAATTAGGTTGAATCTTTACAGAAGTGGAGGGGTTCATCTGTTTTCCTTCATGCAGCTCAGCTCAGAAAGAGAGAGAGACTGACGACTGCAGGAATGTGTGTCTGTTTAGTGTTGGGCGCTGATTAACCCAAACCAGCAGTCTCGGCCTATGAACGCCATCAGATAGACTTAGGGAACATCTGATGCCAGTTTGTATTGAAGTGAATGCTAATGTGTGTGTGTAGAATGTGTGAGAATTGCAATCTGATCTGCTGCAATGGGTGAGGGGCTGTATCTCTTGTCTTCTCTCTCTCTTTCGGCAGGCTCTAGGAGGCTGGATGGTGTTTGGAGAAAGTCTTACAATTTTCCACCCAGGAATGTGTATGGCCCCAGTGAGACTGCCAACCACTGACACAGAATCAAATTTGGAGAAAGTAAAGAAGGCAGACAGAGAATAAGATGGACAGATTTAGTGTAACGTCAAATATTGAATGTAAAAAATAATAATTATTGTGTAACTGAACAGTCCAGGCCAAATTTAGAGGGATTGTGCACACTTCCATAATCGAAAGAAAGTTCAGATAATGAATTAAGCAGAACATTAGGAATCCTTCCAACTCCTGAAGTCCACAATTAAAAAAACAAATCTAGTCGAGATCATGTTAACACATATTTCAATCATATTTTTTAATACTTTTTATACTGTAACTAATTCAACACAACTTTATAGAAATTAACCTAAATTGATTGATTGTATGTATTTTCAGTGCTGAGAGTGCATGAATTTCAGAAAAATATACTCTGTGTTTATACGAATTCCTCTGTTTGAAGTGCGGCGTGGGTTTAGAGTTTCAGTATTCATTAAAAATTAGTGTTTGCTTATATAGTCGCATACATTTGGCAGCCATGCCGGCCGGTGAGTGTAAGTGTGTCTGTGTCTGTGTGTGTTTAAGATTCTCTGTATATCAATATCCATGTGTGTCTGAGAGAGAGTGTGTGTTTGTGCGTTAGTTTGACTTGGGGCGCTTCCAGCTGTGTCAGGGTGATCCAGACCAAATGCCTTAATTCCCAATGGAAGCAGAGAGTCGGTGGGGGTATACTAAGAAGAGGGAGCAAGCAAAATAGACAGGAAAAAAAGCCGGGGGGAAAGATGGATTCGTCAAAACTTGAAATCAACGAGTGGAAGTTTGATTTTTGGGTTACTGCATTTGAATATTGCACTGTAAAAATGACCACAACAAATGTTTTTGTCACTTTCATTTGGTATCAGGTAAACTTTTTTTGTATTTTTACAAAGTTAAACTTAATCTTTTTAGTTACTTTGACTAAAGTTGAGATGACTTAAAAAGTTTAGTTTATTCAACTAAATAACAATATTTTTACAGTCTTCACTTAATTGTAATTTATTAAACTATGTTAATCGTGTTCCAACTTAATTTGATGAGTTATGCAAGTCAGTTCAATATAAAATAAGTTCAAATTACTCAAAAGGTTCATTTGATTTAAATTTTAAGACAACCAGTATTTTCTTTTACAGTGTACGGTCTTGGTTAACAATATCAAAATTCTGACGTGTATTAAATGTAATGATGTGAATACAAATGTTTACAACCAATGTTTCAATATTCTAGTAACATTATCTTTATCCTCTCTCTTGCTCTTTGCTTCCGGCTTCCGGTTGGGAGAAGCAGGCTGTGCTGCCATTGACTGAGAGCGTTGTCTGTCTGCCTGTCTACACTTGCTGTGCAGAACTTCCTGCACCTGTACAGCAGGCACAGACAGGCAGACAGATGGCAGCCCGCCTGACAGGCCACACAGTGTGAGACCAGCCCTTGAGTTCCTGCAAACACTGTACTTTCACCATAGAAAGCCATTAAACGAATGAAACAGCACACTTAAATGCAGTTACTCGCCTCGTCGTCTTTAAACCAGGATAGGCTCTCTGCGGTGAGCACGAACCAATACTCCTTGGATCCTCCTTTAATCAGACTGATGTTGTTGATGATTACCCAGCCTTTGCGAATGACCTGAGGAGCAAAAGTAAGGGTTAAATGTTAAAGGGTGAATGAAAAAAAAACAAAAAAACAAGCAGATACTAAGATTCTCTGGTCCTTCAAGAAACAAAAAAAGTCAATGTGAACTTGAAAAATTATAATTTGTACACTACGAAATTTCACTAGACATTAATGTTAGTGATAGACCCACATAGAGATGGATAGATGGAGGTATGCACAGATGAAAAAGTATTTTAAAAATCAATCAGTTACTTAATTTGAAAAAGTGAGTAAAACCATTAGCTGTTCTTTAAAAAAATCTTGCTGTAACTTGGAACTTTTATGTTGACTTAATTTTTTTTTCAATTTATGCATATAGTTCATTTACTTAACCATATTAACGCATATTTATATCCTCATTTTTATGTAACAATAAAACAATAAATATTCATATTAAATTAAATGTCTTTAAATTTTGATCGTATTTTAAATAATGAAAAACTTCTTACTGACAAATGGTGCAAACGTGACTTTAAATAGTCTTTTATAAAGTCAGCAAACTAAATAAAATGTTGTTAGACAGAATTTTACTTTTGTGAGAGTCTTCTTTAAATTACGCTAAAATTAAGTGGCTCTTATGATTTTTTTTATGCTCAGAAAAGCACATTCTAATATTCTAAAAAATCTAAGTAAACTAAATTTAAAACTATAACACATTCATCGTTTTAATGTTTACATTTGTTTTTCATTTTTAACTTCTGTATATATATTTTTCATTTTAGCTTTATTTAGTACAGCAACTTGAAATAAAAACCAGGAAAGATATTTTCTATGGATATTTCTTGGTGAATAACTTGTTATTGTACTTTAATATTTTTAAGCTCTAAAACAGCTTGAGTGTCTGGTTTTAGTTTTAGTCGATTTAGTTAACTATGAACTATTTTGTTCCACAAAATACTTTTTTTTTGACTGGTTTAGAACTAGTGTTGCCAGATATGTAAAATATTAGAATAATATTTAATTTATTATTTATTTTTATCTAAATCGAAATAACCTAGTTACTTTCCCTGTTATATATTGTTTAACTTAACGGCAGCCAATACCAGCAGTCACAGAACCACAACTGGATCACATCGAAAGACTGCCCCCTCTCACCCACACACTGCACTAATTGTTGTGTAAATACACTACCTATTAGAGTATGTTTTACTTTCAAAATGGGGTATAAATTCATCCCATGGCAATTTAAATTCTTTTGAACATAATTAAGTGCTGCTTGCCAATCAGACAACGATTTTATGTTTGTTCTTGCTGTAAGTTGCGAAAAAAAGATTGATAAAAGTGTCGTGATAAACTGCTGTGAGTTTAACCCTTAAATGCAGGTGCTACGGAATGTGGAAGTCAGATTCATCCTGGAGAGTCCGATATTTATACAACTTTCCTTCACCTCCTCTTGCAGGTGGGCTCACATGGTTCATGCTATGCACTGGTCACTACTAACTGCACACATTTATGTTTTTTTTAAATAAGTTGCATAAAAAATTTACATTTCAATGCATTTTCAACTCGCCTATGTCATATTTTACCTGCACAGTCAAATTCGAAACTGCCCAATCTGGCAACACTGTTTAGAACTAAGGTTATTGTATTTACAGTTTTTCTCAGTTGCTTTGGCTCAATTCTCGATTTAAATTTTTATTTTTTTAAACAATAAGTTTAGATTTCTAAACAATTAGCCTAGAGTTCACTTCAGATTGGCATTTCATTCATTCATTCATTTACTTTTCGGCTTAGACCCTTTATTAATCTGGGGTTGCCACAGCGGAATGAACCGCCAACTTATTATATACAGTAGAAGTCAGAATTATTAGCCTCCCCGTATATTTTTTCCCCCATTTTCTGTTTAATGAAGAGAAGATTTTTTTCAACACATTTCTAAACATAATAGTTTTAATAACTCATCTCTAACAACTGATTTATCTTTGCCATGAGGACAGTAAATAATATTTTACTAGCTATTTTTCAAGACACTTCTAAGCTTAGTGACTTTTAAAGGCTTAAAATGGGTAATTAGGTTAACTAGGCAGGTTAGCATAATGAGGCAAGTTATTGTTTAAAGATGGTTTGTTCTGTAGACTATCAAAAAAAAAGGCTTAAAGGGGACCTTAAATGATTTTAAAAATAATTTTGACCTTAAAATGTTTATTCAAAAATTAAAAACAGCTTTTATTCTAGCCGCAATAAAACAAAAGAGACTTCCTCCAGAAGAAAAAAAAACATTATCAGTATGTATTATTATACTGTGAAAATTTCCTTGCTCTGTTAAACATCATTTGGGAAATATTTAAAAAGAAAAACTAATAATTCTGAATTCAACTGTATATATAGATTGTCCACAGCACAATCACTACATTCACAATCCTGAACTGCAGTAACTTGCTTGTGGAAGAGCAATTGAAAGAAATATAATCTCTGGCAAGGCCAACAAGAGCAACAGGATGTTTTTATGGATGATATTTTGTAGTTTTTTTGTGTGTGTATTTGCGGTACCATAAGAAATATAAAACATACAATACAGTAACTGGACAAGTAAGAGTTTGCATGCATTTGTACACAAATAAATGTACTGTAGAAATACAAATTTTCATTAATTTATAACTTTTTTTCTTTGTGCCATTGACTGTTCTCAACAAATATCAGATTTTTTAAAACTTAATTTCCATAGTTAACTGTCACAGTGAAAAAACAACTAATCATTTTGAGCAGTGTGGCTCGCAAGATGACAAATACACTTTACTCTTTGGTGGCCTTGGCCAAATTACAGACAGGATAACTTGGTTTTGAAGCATGAATGAAATGTTTTAGGGGAGTAACTACATTTTGCAGACATGCAATAAAGTTCTAAAGTTCCAGCAGACAGTTTTGAGATTTGCACTCACAGTTTAGAAAATGTTACATCTATTTTGAAAAATGTGCCAAAGCAATTAAGAACTGTAAAACTGTAACTAAAACCATGAAGTTAACACAATTTAAAAATCAACAAGTAAATATTTTATTTTACTTGGTTCACTAAAATAATTAACACTTGAATAATAAAAAACATAAAAACCATGTACACAAAAATAATACAACCAAATAAACAAACAGTAGATAGATAGATATATAGATATATAGATAGATAGATAGATAGATAGATAGATAGATAGATAGATAGATAGATAGATAGATAGATAGATAGATAGATAGATAGATAGATAGATAGATAGATAGATAGACATAGGAAAGGTAAACTTCAGCAATGTAAAAACAAAGTTAGTGGGCAAAGAATAAACTGAGAGATGAGAGGGTGGAAGTGAAGAAAGAAAAGGAAACAGAAGGTCGGGATGGCAAAGAGAGCAGGGGGAAAAGATCAACAACATCCCGTAGGAAATATGAGTCATTTTGGGCTGATCATGACTTTCAAAACACATTTATGAATTCAGGTCAGCAACATTATAGAGAGTTGTCGTTTAGTACGCATAGCATTGATTATTATTCTCCAAATTGGACAGACTGTTTCCTTTGTACAATATTTTGAAACCACAATATAAAGAATTCTCTTCGATTTGTTTTTCACCTACCTTTCAGTCGAACCACTAAAAAAAAAACAATCCTCCATGAAAGCATTTTCTTTATTTTGTGACTGCGCCAGCCTCAAGTTTGCAGCACGCACCATTTTTGCTCAAAATCAGAAACTGCAAACACGAACATGCCAAATGGCCTGAGATCAAAGAGAAGCTTGAGATTCCAACCTGTTTTTAACATTAGCGCGCACATAGACAAGTCTGTTTACACATGTTTTTGCAAGAGCTGCAAACTTTAAGCTGATTCATTCACAGACAGAATCAAAGTACAGTTATTCAGAGACATTCGAATGATGAATAGGAGGATAAATGAAGCAATAGTAGAAGGTTTTAGTACGTGGTTTAGTGTTTAGTGTTTGGATTTAAATGACACTGCTGGGCAATCAGTATTCAGAATAAGGAGGTCAGAGGTCAAATGAGTCATCTTTTGGACTGGTGTGGATCTGCACTGATTGAGGAGTCTTTAGGGAAGTGTAGAGCATGAAAACAGACTCTGTTCGATGTTTAGGGAGTGCTTTAGCAGGAGTCATAAAAATCTGAATTTTTGAGTCCCAGAATGTCTATGATTTATGTGACGGCAGCACCAGACGAAGAGTAGAAAAGAAAGTGAAGATTTTGCTGTGTTCAGAAGCTTTCAGACATTTGTACATACATATATGCGTCAAAGACGAAAGGTTTTCACACATCAGAAAGTAAAAATTTACAGTAAGAGTGAGTTTGTGTGTGTTTTAGAATGTGTCCTTAAAGGGATAATTTAGTAACTTACTCACCATATACTCAGACAATACCTTTATGACTTTCTTTCTTCTGTTGAACACAAAAGAAGATATTTTGAAGAGAGGTGAAAACATGTAAACAGTATTTATTTCTCCTACTATAGAAGTCAATGGTTACAGGTTTTCAGTTTTCTTCAATATATTTTCGTTGGTGTTCAACACAAGAAAGAAAATCTTAAAGGACTGGAACTAGTTGAGGGTCAGCAAATACTGAGTAAGTTTTCATTTTGGTGTGAACTATCCCTTTAATGAGCAAATAAAAAAGCGATCAAACATTTTTACCATGAATTACACTCTGTAACATCCATTTCATTCAGGCCCTTTTTTGAATATGACACATTAAATTTGCAGCTTAAACATGCTGCAGTTTTATAGTTATTCATCATGGTGTGAGCGAAAATTTATATTAACCAATTAAACTAGTTTGTATGGCAGGCTTTCAACTGGAATCAAACAATGCTTGACTAAGAAAGTTAATCAAAAAATCAATCACAAATTAACATTTTTTTAAATAATATTACAATACAATATGTAATAAAATATGTAAATCTAGTCAATTCTGTATATTATATTATATTATATTATATTATATTATATTATATTATATTATACTATTATAAGGCAAAAAAAAAACTTTATATAGTTTAAGGGCCATTCTTCAACTACGGCACTTTTAGCCTTGTGAAGTTAAGAAAAAAAAAAAACTTGTTCAAAATGAACATAACAGAGCCTCATACGTTTAAACAATTAGTCTAGTTTTGAGATCTGTAAGAGGACAAACTTAGATAAAAAGAGAAACATTGTTTCCATCGTGAACTGAACAAACGTCAGTTCCACCACATCTCAATAAACAGCTTTTATATCAAAATGAAATACATTATGGCAGTCAAACACTGTCTAAGATCATTTTTGTATCTAGTTTAACCAATCTTTCCACAATATGTATAATAATTATACATTTGTCAAGGAAATACATTTGTTGTATGCTGAATTGTACACCTGTTACACTCTAAAATAAGAGCTTATTAGAAAATAAATAAACTGAATTTGTATTTTAAATAGAGTATGAACTTATACATTGTAAATACACTTTTAATGTGCGATAAGAACTTTTTAAATATTTAAAAAAAAATGTATGTGGTGATGGACATGACAATGCTGGAAATGACATTTTTACAGTTTATTGTGAAAAAATGTAAAATAGTTTCACCGATTAGCTTTGAATTGATACTAGCCTTTCATGTATACAAAACACTATTATTTACCCTTATTTTGTTTGGTTTTTAAAAACACCTTTGAAGTTACAGCATGTTTGCAAAAGACGTAGAACAAATTTATTTCATTATCAAGCAAAATTCACCTTGATTTTTCTTTGTGTTGTTGATAAGATTGAAATTCCCTCCATCTTGAACATGTTCTTGGATGGCACTATTCATTTCATAGAAACCACCTAAACAATCTTTCACACAAACTTTTTAAAGTGACATTACAGTGTTGTGGTGGAAATGACACTGTAACTGTGCGACAGCTATATTTTGTATAAAAAATAATATTGATAATAGTCTCACATTAATAACCATAAATTATTTAAATTATTTTACTAGTGATTAATTAAGATACATTAATAGATACCAGATAAATAATATTTTAAAATGTTATTTTCATGGTTGAAGTTTAAAACTCTGGGTGTGTGACAAGGTGAAAACAGTGGTTTTAACAACTAAAAGGAGGTTGAATATGAAAAAAATATATGATAGTTAATTTTTAAAGTAGGTTTTATTGTTAGATTGACAAAGAAAGACAATTTTTTTTTTAATTATATTTATTTTTGGATATGTAATAAAAGGACATAAAAGTGCCCATAGTTGAAGATAAATAATAGTTAAATACTTCCCAAATTATGTTTAACAGAGCAAGGAAATTTTCACAGTATGTCTGATAAAATTTTTCTTCTGGAGAAAGTCTTATTTGTGTTATTTCTGCTAGAATAAAAGCAGTTTTAAATATTTTACCAATATTAGCCCTTTTCAGACATATTTTTTAGATAGTCTACTAAACAAACCATTGTTATACAATAACTTGTCTAATTCCCCTTACCTGCCTAGTTAACCTAATTAACCTAGTCAATGTCACTGTATGCTGTATAGACTTGTCTATAAATATATCTTGTATAATATTATTTACTGTCATCATTCATTCATTTTTTTTGGCTTAGTCCCTTTATTAATCCGGGGTTGCTACAACGGTATAAACCCCCAACTTATCCAGCACGTTTTTACGCAGCAAATGCCCTTATAGCCGCAACCCATCTCTGGGAAATACTGTCATCATGGCAAAGATAAAAGAAATAAGTTGTTAGAAATTAGTTATTAAAACTATTATGTTTAGAAATGTGTTGAAAAAAAATCTGCTCTCTGTTAAACACAAATTAAAAATAAAAAAAAATAAACAGAGGGCGAATAATTCTGACTTCATCCAGGTATATATACTGTATGTATGTGTATATATATAGGATTTCAAAAGAAAACAAATTTAGGGACAAAAGTCCCCTTGTTATTTGAATAGTTAGGGCCAGATTGCACCAGCTCAAACCCCTGGTCCTAGAAACATGCACACACAATTTACTAAAGGTGTGTGTGTGTGTGTGTGTGTGTGTGTGTGTGTGTGTGTGTGTGTGTGTGTTTGGAGTAGAAGAGTACTGAAATTCATAACGTAATGTGAATGTTGTATTGCAATATTACACTACAAAAAAAAATACTTTGTAAACATGATACTTTATACATCTATTAAAAATGTAATTGTAAAATAAATTACTAAAATAAAAAAGAATAATTTTTGTGAATGCAATTTGATGCAGACACAAAAATGGGAATGTCTCGTCTTTGACCCACATAGACACAGAGAATCATGTGACACTGGTAGACAGTAGGTAAAGCTTACAGACACTGGACTCGTACAATTTGACTGGGTGGAGGAGGCGCAGCACCCTAAAACATTAGCAGAGAGGAAAGAATAAAACCATTAAGGAGGCACGAGCATCTTTCCTGGGAAGTTGGCACAGCACATTCATTCCTTCAACAACAAAAAAGAAGTTCTATCACACTACCATTTTACTAAACAACTGAAGTGGAGGTTTGAGTTAGAAAAGTTTAGACATGTAGAGCAAACAGCAACACTGTGAATGCTCAGTGTATCTAAGTGCAATTTGCAGGTATGAACACAAAAAAAAAGACTCAAAACAGTCCAACGTTATTGACGCAGATACATTGTGACAACCTCAGTATTCACAAATATATTAAATCTAGATTTCGCTTTATAATAACTTAATGCATTGACTAGCCTTCAGTTAAATATATACAAATGTGAATGTTTTCACTGATGATCAAGAGTTGTTTCAGCAGTTGTTATTTGTCAATAAGTCAATTATTATTGATATATACAAATTATTATTATGATTATACAATTATTATTAATATATATATTTTATTTTATTTTTTATTTTTTTTGTGCAATAGTCACAATTTAGTTTTTAAAATTTGACTAAATATTTGAAATATGGTGGATTTGGTTGTGTTTTAGTATTTGAAAGTTCAATAGAAAAAAAATGTGGAGTGGAGCTACATTATGAAGTGAGATATTGACTTGCTCATGACACATTTATAATAATGACATGACACATTTTTTCTTGACAACTTGATATAAACAAATACATCCAACCCAGGCTCATTATTAATACGTACCCCTGCACACATTTCTGGACAGTGCAAAATGTCCCAGGAGGTATGTTTTTTGCAGTTTTTGTTTTCACAAGTCCACCAGAGGCCGCTGTGTACGCTTTTTCAGATCTCAAATTTCTCTCAAAAGTGCCATTCACGGCTGCTCTTCTTGTGTAAATCGCTGTCGACTGACTGACTGACCGACAGATAACCCTTCCCCCACCCACCCCCTTCCCTAAACTCAACTGATAGTGTTTTCAAAACCACAGATTGACCCATCCATTGAATTCCCTAAACCCAACCATCAGTGTTTGTAAAAGCAATTCAGGAAAAACAAAAGCCCTCAAGGCAGTCTGATTTTTACCACACTTTCAGGTCTTACCATGTTCTCACACTGTTATTTACTTTATTTCATTTTTTGGCTTTTGTTTTTATCTTAATAGCGTTCTGAAATCGTTCTTCGCTGGACTCGATCCACATTGTCACGGTCAACTCCTCTCTGTGTCTTAAGTTCGCCGACGTATGTGGTGAGCCATTGGGCAAACTGGTACAGCAGAAAAGCAGTCCATAAGGAGTTAAGCAGTCAGCTGGTAGCGCGGAAAAAAACAGACGCCGTCGGCAGCATCATACCCCCTTAGTGTTCATTTTACAAATGAAATGCAGCCATACGTAGCTCTGGCTACATAATTCGCGATCTTCAGAAATGTAAGAAGGGGAACGTTTTCACAATGAGCCTGTGTTCTATACGTCATAACCTGTCATTGTCTTTGTCATGACAATCTGTCATTACCAAGACAACATAACTTGTCAAAAATCCATCATAAACATGACTGTCATTAATTAATAATCATAATTGTGTCATGAATTTTATAACAGTATTGGTAATACATTTAATATAATAATTACAGTGGGAAAAAATTAAGGTTTCCTGAAGATTTTATTAAATATTATGCTGTTATGCATAATATTATCATGATATAATATAAATGCTGTTATCTCCCTGCGTTTGTGTGGGTTTCTTCCCGATGCTCTGGTTTCCCCCACAGTCCAAAGACAGGGTACAGGTGAATTGGGTAAGCTAAATTGTCCGTAGTGTATAAGTGTCAATGAGGATGTATGGATCTTTCTCAGAGATGGGTTGAAGCTGGAAGGGCATCCGCTGTGTAAAACGTGTTGGATAGGTTGGTTTATTTCGCTGTGGCGACCCCAGATTAATAAAGGAACTAAGCCGAAAAGAAAATGAATGAATGAATGAACGAATTAATAAATGCTGTTTTAAATTATTTATCAGTGTAGCAACAATTTTAATGAGAATTTTTACTAATAAATTAATTTGATTCCACTTAAGAAAGTGATCAGAAAAATATTTATGAAACAATTATAAAGATCTCATGTTGATGACAGATTTATGACAGGTTATGCTGTGTTGGTAATGTCAAGTCATAAAAAATACAGAATATGATATATTTGATTACGTCAAGTTGTCAAGACAAAGGCATCTTATTTATTTTCCTTCCGATTAATCTATTATTTGTCAGGGGTCGCCACAGCCGAATGAACTGCCAACTATTACAGCATATGTTTAACACAGCGAATGCCCTTCCAGCCACATTGCAGTACTGTACACACACACACACACACACACACACACACAATGGCCAATTCACCTATGGCGCATGTCTTTGGACTGAGGGGGAAACCGTAGCACCCGGAGGAAACCCAAGCGAACACATGGAGAACATGCAAACTCCACAAAGAAATGATAACTGGCCCAGCGGGGACTCGAGCCAGCAACCTTCTTGCTGTGAGGTGACAGTGTTAATCACTGAGTCACTGTCCCAAAGGCATCTCATGTCATTTTAAATGCAAAAATTACATTAACTGAATGAACGAACTATAATGACAGTTGTCACAAGCATGCATAAAATCTCATTCATATTTACGACGAGCCAATGTCATTAGTTACTGAAACTCCAATGCTAAAAAAAAGAAGTGTGACCATGAAATCGGAAAGAGAGATAAAGAATTTAACTTGCAGTACAGCAAAACACAGTGTGAAAGATAGTAAATTATCATGAAAAATGTTAGACATACACATAAGCCATATATTATGGATTGCGAGACAGATGAATGAGAAAGCAAAAGCTTGAGCAGAAATGAGGCTTCCTTCCAGAAAAGACCCTGTAGGATTGTCCAAATCCTGATTTGTGATCTATACCAGGTTCATGTCATCAGATGATAAAACACTGTGACTCACCTGGTTCCCAGCTGAAGGCTTATTGCTCAGTTGACTGGTTTTCTGTTGAGCGCTGAAAGGAAATGTGTAAAAGGAGGGAGATGGTTCATGTAGTGTTGCATTGTGAAACATACTTTGTTTTATGCCTTAGTCGTGTAACATTAAAAAACTTACTTTGCGAATCCAATAAAATCTTCATGGTTGGTATTGATGTAAGAAAGCTGAATCTCTAATGAGAGTAAAACCTGTTTTGTGAAAACACACGCGTGTACACAACAAAGTATGTTATAAAACAATAACTTCTAATAAAATTGCTAATATGTTAATCTCATTCATAACTTAACCATGCTTGTAAAAGAGATTTTTTTTCTATTGTTTTGGGTCTGACCTGGTCTTTGGTTTGACTTTCTCGTTCCCGGATGTGAGTGGTTACTATCCTCTCAGTCTCCTCTCGTAATTTTGGAAAAGACTCTAACTGAGAACACACACACACACACACACACACACACACACACACACACACGCGTGCACACGCGCACACGCACACACACGCACAGCCACAACAAGAAATTTGTAAAAATTTCCACTGTTTTCCTAATTAAGTTCCATTTTTCAAATATTGTCAGATTGTCAAAAAGAATTAGTTATTGTCAAAAAGATTTGTTTTATTGAATGTGAATAGGCGGTTCATTTTGCTGTAACGACCCCTGATTAATAAAGATTTTTTATATGCTCATAGAATTGAAAAGATTTGGCTCACAATAAAACAAAAGCCAGAACAATGTTTATTAATTAATTTTTATATCTTATTATTTGCTTTAATAGTGCAATTATTTTTAAGTTATCTTATGTATTTATATTGTTGCATATATATATATAGAGAGAGAGAGATATTTTACCTTCTGTTAAAGGTAGTTGCTAGTTCATGAATAAAAGTTGTTGGTAGTTGCTAGTTTATGAATAAATAGACTACGCTTAACATTTATTTAGTGTGTATAAATATGATTTCCTGATAATTTCTTGTGTGGTGTATTGTATTTGTGCGTGATTTTGATAGCATTTTTTGTATATCTACTTGTATCAATAATATTTATATTGTATTTATGGTGTTATTTTTTGTCTGACATATATCCAGCAAGTTTTTATGCAACTGATGCCCTTCTAGCCGCAATCCATCTCTGTGAAGCATCCACTCATACACCACGGACAATTTAGCCAACCCAATTCACCTGTACTGCATGTCTTTGGACTGTGAGGGAAACCGGAGCACCCGGAGGAAACCCACGCGAATGCAGAGAGAACATGCAAACTCCACACAGAAACGCCAACTGAGCCGAGGCTTGAACCAGCAACCCAGCGACCTTCTTGCTGTGAGGCGACAGCACTACTTACTGAGCCACTGCTGCTTCGCCCATATATATACAGTTGAAGTCAGAATTATTAGCCCCCTTTTGAATTTTTTAAACTTTTTTAAACATTTCCCAAATTATGCTTAACAGAGGAAGGAAATTTTCACAATATGTTTAATAATATTATTTTCTTCTAGAGAAAGTCTTATTTGTTTTATTTCGGCTACAATAAAAGCAGTTTTTAATTTTTTTTAAAACAAGTTTTGGGACAAAATTATTAGCCCCTTTAAGCTATTTTTTTTTTCAATAGTCTACAGAACAAACCATCGCTATACAATAACTTACCTAATTAACCTAGCCTGCATAGTTAACCTAATTAACCTAGTTAAGCCTTTAAATGTCACTTTAAGCTGTATAAAAGTGTCTTGAAAAATATCTAGTAAAATATTATTTACTGTCATCATGGCAAAGATAAAATAAATCAATAATTAGAAATAAGTTAACTATTATGTTTAGAAATTTGCTGAAACAATCTTCCCTCCATTAAACAGAAATTGGGGAAAAAAATAAACAGGGGCGTTTAAAATTAAGGGGGGCTAATAATTCTGACTTCAACTGTATATATAATTTAAATAAACAGATGTGCACTAAAAGAGAATATACTTAAACTTTACAAAGTGAACTTCATAATAATGTCAAAGTGAAGGTTTTAAAAAGATTTTTTGGTTATAATATTATATATTTGATAATCTTTTGTCTTTTGTCATAATCGTTTAAATACAGTTTGAGCTACACATGGATTATAGAACTATTTATACAACTATATGTTTACTATTGTAATAGTATTGTTAATTATTAATATTTAATATTCACTGAATATTTAGTGTGTTTTAACATCCATCCATTTAAGCCTCCATCATTCATTTATTTCTTTATGTTTATGTCTATATCAGTTTTACTAGGTAGAATGTGTCACATTAGCTTAACAGAGATAAAGTAAGAAAAAAAAAGAATAAAAAATATTTCAAATTGTGGACCAATCCATCAAGTTAATCTATGAACAAATATTAATAAATGATGATGTTTTTTTTTTTTTTTTTTAATAAAAAAACTCATAGAACATTTAAAAAAACCGTTCATTATCCATTAAAATATGCAAAATCATTTAGCATTATTAAATAATTAAGCAAAAAAAACTGTAAGCATGCTAATGTACAATCTTTTTTACAAGGGTAAAAACAACCGTCAGTAAATGTTATTCCAGACAATTATTAATTGTATTATAAATACTGTTAATCTAGGCATGGTCATCTTTAATCAAAATACTATTACATCATCTTCCAAGATTTTCTTTTCTGCTAATGCCACTTAAGTCTGTTGAAAAATGTATACCTATAGCCAAACTGCTAGTTGGAGCAAACTTTCAGACTTTAATGGGAACATGTTATCCCCATTATTTAAAACTGTTTTACTTTGACTTTTCTTTCCATTCACACAGTAAAAGAGGATGTTGTACCTTGTTGGTACACTGCTGTACTGTGTTGATAAGCTCCTGGATCACCATGTCTACACACTTCAGACAAGGTCCTTTAAGTTTTACAATCTGTTTCTTGACTATGGCTTCAAACGCCATATCGGGTGTGAACAGGCCTGTCCTGAACAACAAGAGAGGAATAAAAATTAAGTAAAGGAAGATAACATTTAGACAACAAATAAAGAGAAAAGCAGAAACTACATTTTTAACAAGGTTGGCAAACATTTTTAATAAGTGCCCCTTTTATGCTATTTTAAGGATCCTTTCACATCTGTAGATTGATTGTTTTTTTTTTTTAACAAGGATTTAAATTGTTACAATGTTGCTTTTTGTTCTTAGAGTGGTTCACTTTCACGCGGCAAAGTTTCTAAACAACCCAAAAACAAGTCATGTGCGAGTAAACTCTCCCCACATTGGTCAGAGTTTTTTTCCGGCTCAGCTGTCATATGTCATTGTTTTAATTCATGTCGATGAGAAATAAGACATCAGCAAAATGTGACACCCACACATATAGTCACCAAATATAAATCATATATAAAGAGGTAATAATATAGGTAAGACTTATATTATGATACATAGCCTCATTTCAATTGTCAAGGGCTGTAAAATAAATATCTAACCTATATCAGAAATCACTTTAACCAAAAAGTTTATTAGTTCAGTTAGATAGTATACGTTCACTTTCATATTTGACAGGAAATGTAATCACTCACATCATCCTCTCTTCTTATGGCCATATACTGTATATGCCTATTGCATAGCCATATTACACTGTGATATAGCCTGGTTTGTTAGTTTGTTGTATTGTATTGCTTTCTTACAACAACCAAACAGCTCCAGAGTTTGATTTAACTGAGCTGAGATCTTATTCAGGTGATCTTGGACCTATAGTGGGGTTCACATATGCCCAAAATGAACCAAGTCAAGGTGGAAACACGCCAGATTCCAAAACAAATGTCTACAGTAGGTGTGAATGTACCCTAAAGGTGCCTAGTTTTTTTTTGTTTTTTTTTGAGGAAATATCTTAAGTCATACTCCAGTCTAATAAAGTTTGCAAATACTAATCTAACAGTCTAAATTCTAATGTGAATTAGTTTCTTATGGCTGCGTTGTAACTTATAGTCAACAAAATTAAAGTGACACCCAAATCATCACTTATACTTTGCTCTGTAGTGATGACAAAAAAAAAACATCCTCTAGCATATCTAAATTTCAGCTTCAGAGGTTTTCTGAGCCTTGTCAATATTGTGATACAACCAGTAATGACGGTATCAGTTTTACCATGTCAGTTTAAGTGCAGGTCCTCATTGTAACTGCACATTTTTAACCTCTAGTGAACAGATGTTGCAGCCAATACATACCATAAGCTGGCATTACCCAAATCTGCTATATAAAACCATATACTGTAGATTCATGCAGGAATTACTGTTCGCTTGTTTGAGGTAATTCAGAACGTATTATTTCTTTTGGGAGGCAATAGGTCTCATTCACTAATAATCGCAAACATTTACCATTATTTTCACACATGTAAACACTCAAAAACTTTCCGTTTTATTCATTAATTAAACATGTATGTATGCACATGAGCTACTCTTAATATCTTTTAACCGAACGACTGCAAGCACAAGATTAGTCATTTGCATAATACACGGCCCAACCAGCTTCGTATACTGTAGCAGTCTGCCTCCAAACACAAGGTGAGACACATTTGGACCTAAAATTATTCTGTATTGTCACTTTTTGATGTCTAGTTACAATTTACCAAGTCTGTACATAACATATCTAATTATATGAAGGGTTCTTTATACATCCTAAAGGCCCCTAATATTGAGTATGTGTGGTATAAGTTGTTCTTGAATAATTTGTATATTTAGAATTAATTTTAGTACGAAAGTTTTGATGAATCATGACATTTCTGTATGGATATTTCATTCAGAATTGTGTGTTTGCATGCTTAGTGATCGAGACCCATTGACTATTAAATGTACAGTTTGATTTTTGAACCGTTGCAGACCATTCTCAATCACAAACAGATATTGCTCTCATACCATAAAATAAAAGGTAATATCTGAAATAGGTGCACTTTAATCAGTTAATACAGTTTTGCGACACATACCTGATGCCATGGATGTTTTTAATTGCGTAACTGATCTCCCTTCGTAATTCCTTCTCATCAAACTCCATCTTACAGAAGAATGTGATTAAAACATTAGAATGCATTCTGAATAGCATTGATTGATTATTTAAAGGTCAATTCAGCTTCAACAATCACCTTGACCAGCTCAAAGGGAAACCGCTCATGAAAGATGCGGTTGATTTTGGCTCCTCCAGAAAGCTGCACTGTATCCACCTGATCCCCAGATCCCTCAATACGCTTCTCAAAATCAAGCCCAAAGTGCTGTATCAGCCTGGAAAACAAAAGTATGGTAAGAGCTTGTGTGTGCGGCCTCTTCGCTTCTCATCTTATCTGCAATCTGTTTGTGCTTAGGCTGTAAACAAGTTTTGTATATTGCAATAAGGTAAAAAAAGTGTGTGTGTTTGTTTGTGTTTATTTGTGCATGTGTATTTATTCTCTGAATTAAAGCGAGTTTGTGTGTGTGTGTGTGTGTGTGTGTGTGTGTGCGTGTGTGTGTGTGTGTGTGTGTGTGTGTGTGTGTGAACTCACTGCATTAAAGCCTTGGTCTTGCGCGAGGGATCATCTGGATTCAAACCCTTGTACTCTTCAGCCTCTTTATCCAGTGAAAGAAGCTGGGCTTGTAGTCGACTACGTAATGCTGGTAACGTGTCACGGATGTGGTTGGTAAGTTGCTAAAGTCATATGAGATAAGAACATATAATTAAAGGCGTTATTTGTCAATATTATTTAATGTTGTTTGTAGTACTACTTTATATGACCTGGTTGAGGAGTCTCTGTAAGTATGGAGTGCCCATGTAGTCTGCCATGTGTCTGTATGCTGGATGTGACTTGAAGAAGCGCTTCTCTGCTGCCAGAGCTGCACTGATGTCTTTTTTCCCCTCAATGTCCTTCTGACTACGATTTACCACACCAATATAACCTGTAGCCATCACAGAAAAAGTATTAAATCAAGTAAACTACAAAAAACATTCAGCATACAGTCTTTAAGTCAAAATAAATACTGTGTGCCTAATTTAACGATGTAAAAAGGCGGGTTTTAACATATACAGTTGAAGTCAGAATTATTTGCCACCCTGTTTATTTTTTCCCCAATTTCTATTTGGCGGAGAGAATATTTTTTCCAACTCATTTCTAAATACAATAGTTTTAATAACTCATCTCTAATAACTGACAGTGGTGTAAAGTACTCAAGTCAATGGACTTCGTTAAGTATTTTTTGGCAACTTTGTACTTGTTGCTTATATTTTTAATACTCAGTACATTTACTCTCTACTTGACTACATTTTTGATTAAATATATGCACTCTTTACTCCCTTTATTTGAAAGACGCTGAATTAGCAGCTTGCCTAATAACAGGTGGTTTATTTGTGACATGGCTGCAGCCATGATGAAGCTGAAGCCGGCACATTAAGCAGTGCCAGCACTGATGACCATCCATAGCCTTATCTGAAAGAAATGTTTTCATTTGCTGATATACAGAATGGCTCTTACAGGATGCAGAGTCTACTTTGTTTGCCACAAACCACGAAAATAATTACTTTTAAGAATTTATTGTCAAATTTGAAATAGCACATTGGGGCAAGCGTCTGTTTAATGTTAATTTAATGTGAATTTAGTCAAATTATGTCTGACTTTACAATGGTAATGTAAGCATAATGTTACCAAAAGTTAATACAGTTACTGATATGGAAAAAACCACTGCAACATGAAATGACTATGTTTTAGCTTAATGTTTCTGTCCAACGTGAATAAATGGATCACTGAAGTTTTACATTTTGCATCAGGTGCATTTAGCTCTGGGTTTGTGATGTATTTTTCATTGAATTTGTATGTAGTTTACTAAGTAAAAAAAAAAACACTGCTCCTCTTTGTTTAATTTCAATACACAAAAAACATCCTAATCAATTAAAAAACTACTCAAAATAAAAAATATCTGCTTCAAGGAGATGCGTTTCTGTCATCTAAAGACGTCACAACTATGTCAAGAAAAAAGGCATGGTTGAGCATTCTGTCCTTTTTTATGGTAACATCTTGTTAGTAACATTGTGGTTGCTTTTGGTTTATTTAGATTTACTTGGTCCACTTTGTTAGAAATTTGGGTGGAAGAATTTACTATTACTTAAATTGATTACACTTGATTTAAATTGATTAAACTAACAGAGCAATATGAACGATTATTAGTTTGATTTAATTCAACACACCATTAAACGAAGAAACTAAATGCTGCAGGAAAATGTGTCATCATTAATACTGAAATAAACAAGATACAGAACTCATTGAACTTACAACAATAAGTTTGTTGCATACTAAAGATTTAATTGTGACATTTCACTGGGATGAATTGAATAAAAAATATGTTTAATAAAATATTGCTTTAATAAACTGAATATTAAAATAACATTTTATCTAAGTATCACAGTTTTTGACAGCATTGCAATTTTCTTTTGTTGTCTCTTGTTTAGTTTCACATCATTTGACTAAAGAAGCAATTTAAAAACATTTTTATTGTTCTAAAATGACTAAAAACACTAGGGGCTCTATTTTGACGGTCCATGCGCAGAACGCAAAATGCAGGGCGTGTCAGGACGCGTCTTTGCTAATTTAAGGACGGGAAATCTGCCTTGCTCCGCGGCGCATGGTTTAAAAGGGTTGAGTTTCTTTTCTTAATGAGTTATAGGTGTGTTTTAAGAATAAACCAATTAGAGTCTCATCTCCCATTCCCTTTAAGACCCAGCTATGTCGCGCCAAGAGCGCATTCCCTATTTACAGGACGCAAAGTAAGTCTAAGTGGAAAAAATGAGCATTTCACAAGCAAACAGTTCACAGTTAACAGCTTTTTAACAGAAAACTGTTAAACAGAGCATCTACTGCGTGAGAATGAGAGATAATGGAACTACTTTCACATTCGCTCTTGGATAGGGAAACCTTTACACACAGACATCAATTAGCCTATAAATAATCAATTTCGTTTGTTAAGCGCAAAGATTTGTTTCAAAACTATTTCTCAATTCAGTTCTAATTTCTAGCAAACGAATAAATGAACAGTAATGACCAAGTGTGGTCAAAATACTGAGTTATTTCCAAATACACCTGCCATGCCCCATATGGTCTAAAATCTGACAGGTGGGCAAATCTAAGCTTGTTATAAATATGGATATAATAAATATAAATATGGATATAATAAATAATAGTGCTAATATTAATAACATTATACAAAAGCAAATTGAAAAAAGCCTGCCGAGATGAAGAAGACATAAAAGCAGTGGTTTTTCATATTTATGTAGGCTAGAAAATAATTTGTTTTGTAATATTTTAATCCTTTATATTTATATCCTATATCTATTCTTATTATATCCTATATATATCCTTAATATTTAAATTTTTTCATATGTAAAGATATTTGCCTATTGCTCTCTTGTGCGTATTAGGCAGTGCGTAAGCGAGGCGCAACTTTGCGCCGGAGTTTAGACCGGGTTAGTTTTGGTCCAATGAAAAATCTATTATAGTTTCTCAAAATAGCAACGCGCCAGCGGTCCGCCTCAGAACGCCTTCCTTTTTAGACCAGAACGCCTATAGGCGCACAAATGAGCGCTAATGCATTTGCTATTTAAACAGCATAGCGCAACGCCTCAAAACGACTCTTGCGCCAAGCTGAAACTACCAAAAGACTACTGCGCCGCGTCTTGCGCCACACTGCGCCAGGTGTATGATAGGGCTCTAGATATTTAATCCTTGTGCACTGTTCAAATTTACTTTCCTTTTGCTATATTAGAGATGAAAACACCCTCTAAATTTAGCTGCAGTAAAAAAATGCATTACATTAAAAAATAAATAAATAATAATAAATAAATAAATAAAATATTAGTATATATATATATTTTTTACAGCAGATTAATTTAGTGGATGTTTTCAACAAACGGGTAGTAAATTTCCCCAGATTGTATCAAAGTAAGATTTGTCACCAAAAACCATTCTACCAGCTGAAACACAGGAAAAGGTATGGCCAAATTAGGACTGGAGAACCATCATATGTCAATCCACATGAGAATTAAATGTTGGAATTTATTATTTTTTTTCTAGATATGTCAAACTCTAAAACATTATATTAGATAGAAATTGTGAGTAACATATTACTTTCAAAATACATTATCCTTCTAAACTACATTATCCTTGAAAACCTTCTTAAATAAAAGTTACAGAAATGTATTAGTAAAAAGGGGGATTCGTCAAAAACTTTCAGCTTTCACTGTATACTAAAATGTCATAATATTAATTTTATTTAAAATTATAGCTATTCATAATAAACTATGGACAGTATTTATAGCTCAGCTCTGTTATAAATAAAAATAAAATAAAATAAAAAATGTAAGACATGAGGTGGGAAAATGTGATATTCAGCTGTTCTTAAGCGCTGTGACCTCTCCAGAGCAAGAAAGAAAACAGTTCAGCAACTACTAGTAGGGCTGTATCCGATCTGCACAAATGACCGAGGTAATGTTTCTACAGCGTCTTAACCCTTCTCCATAGCTGGACTTCTGTGTGTCTAATGCATTAAGACAGCAGGAGGAAGCATGAAGTCTCTGCACCTGGCCCTGTTTTAGCCACTATAGCCTGCAGCAGACTGTGCTTGGCAATGGTGCGGGTCTTAAGCCAGACTGCACAGCCTCTGCTAAAAGCTCATTTCTATGTGTGCTGTACCTCTGCGCAGTGGCAGTAACCTGTTCTCCAGCACGTCCCTAACATCTGTGCCCTTGTCCACCAGGTCCAGCTTTGTGATCACACCGATGGTGCGATGGCCTGAAATCAAGATCAAGGAAAATGGAAACAAAAACAAGAAAGAAAGACATTAGCTATGTTTCCATCTAAAGATGAGTCAAAGAGAACAAAATCGTCACTTCCTGATAATCGCACCAAATATCAAAAAGGAAAATAGAATTTGCTGCATTAGAGCCATTGTGGGCATTTTTTTAAAATAAAATAAATTATTTGCAACTCAGAAGATGAAGAGAAAATCCAATGGATGTTTTGGAGGTTCAAAACTGCTCTTTGATAATGGTCTTTGGCATTTTAAAATGATCTGTTGTGAAAAGGACGGTGCAAAGATCCATGAGAGAGAAATTAGGCTGGTGGCATTAGTGTTAAAGACTGTCACCTGTGTGTGCCATCTGAAAATTAGAACATGGAGCAATCGCTCGCTTTTTTTAATATCTAATAATCTTGTTTAATCCCGCCCCTTTTAGCAGCACTGTACGACAGAATTTCGCACACACAAACTCAGGTGTGACCGCAGCTTAAAACAACATTTCAGATGTTTTAAATGTGTTTGGCCCAGCTCTGATGCACATACATTATAATTTCTGTATTTTTTCCTATTGACTATCATACTCAGTTGTGCGCATGTGCTTTTTTTCATGCACATTTTCAAAAATGTGTGCAATAAACCTAGCCCTATTCTTTATAGGGGAGTGCAGGGATGTAAGTAACTTATTTTAATGGAAAAAAAATTGTTTTAAGGTATATTGTTTTTAGCAGAAACATTTTTTTGCTGTGCCCTCGAGTCTGAGTCATTTGATTTTGAGTATCTACCGACATCGAAACCCAATCCAATACTTCTATAATACATAAAAAAAGAATAAAGAAGAACAAATAAACAGATCCAGAATGTTCCTTATTTTTATTGAATTCACCTTATTTTAACATTCAACAACTCTGTTAACAAACAGAGCTCTTCTGTGAGGTAGCTTGAACAATCAAGTAATAAATAACATCAATTCTTCACTTTTGGACTTTAGTGCAACAGTAAATATATATATTTTTAAATCTAATAAGCATAAGAAATCCAGGGTTCGCTACATAGGTGAACGGCAGGTCATTCATTGCGATCATTTGTGCTATCTTGGCTGTTATGTCCAGTGCCTTCACACTGTCCAAGGGCATTTTTTTCTCTCCTCTTCAAACTCTTTTGCATGAGCTGACTCGTCTTCGATTGGGTTGGCTGGGTAATCCTACTGTATTGTGTTGGATGTTTGTTTTTGAGATGCCTTATCAGGTTTGTTGTGTACTTTTCTTTCCACCTCTTGCAATCCCAAGTTTACGTATCTCACAGTTTGCTATTGCAATGTTGTAGTCATAAAGTTTGTAATACTTTCAGACAGTAATATATATATATATATATATATATATATATATATATATATATATATATATATATATATTAGGGATGTAACGTATTGTACCGTCATACCGCAATATTAATTTTTTTCGATATTACCGTAGTCGCATGACTCGGTAAAACTATAGGTCTTCTGAGAAAATTTGCTCAGGCGAATGAAGCAAATGGGAGGTAGCGGAAACTACAATTCCCATCAGCCCTTGCGGTCTGTTGTCGCTACAGATACAGTAATGCGGAAATGGAGTGTGTTGCTAGAAGCGGGCATCAAAAAGAGCTGGAAATGATCAAACCTGAAGTGGGTGTTCAGTACGCCACACGCGTACTGAATAGCGGTGTTGTCGCGCGCGTTCTGATCAGCTGTGTTGTCGCGCGCGTTCTGATCAGCTGTGTTGTCGCGCGCGTACTGAATAGTGGTGTTGTTGCGCGCGTTCTGATCAGCTATGTTGTCGCGCGCGTGCTGTAAAGCGGGGAGGGGGGGGGTTGAGCGCGCATACTCAAGAGCGGTGTTGTCGCGCGCCTACTGAAGGGCGGAACGGAGGGTGTGACACAGCACACTGTTCAGATTGATACAGACATGAGACCTCTATCTCACTAATGGCTTGTCCTCTCAAGTGGGGGAAAGACAATGCACAACGTTACCCACTGCTGTCAACCTGGGCCAAGTCATATCTCTCTGTCCCAGAAACCTCAGTCCCAAATGAGAGGGTTTTTTTCTGTTGCAGGGGACATTGTAAATGCCCAGAGATACCAGCTTTTACCAGATTATATTTATATGATAATTTTCCTTAAAACCCATCTCTATCTAAGTGAGTGAGTGAGTGATTAAATGTTGAATGCGATGAGTTTTCAACAATACTAAATTGAAACTTTATTTTTTTACATGGTTTAATAATTTTTTGTTATTAAAATTGAAGTTCCTGTTTCAAAGCTTACAGATAGATGGCTAATTTGTATGTCATTGACACTTTTGGCACTTTTTTGGAGTATTTTCATAAGTTTTATATATATATATATTCGAGTTCTGATTGGGAGGTAACATCTGATTCCAATCGAGTCGGAAACTGTGTGATAGGGCCCAATTTCCAATCACGTGATCAGACCTGGACATCTCTATTACAAACTGACAAGGGTAGTCTATCAAGATCAGGTGTTGTTTTGTATCAATGCAGAACAACTCCAATATTACTTCACTTTAAACAAAAGTTGCACATTGTAATGTTTGACCCCATAGGCAGGGACGAAAGTAACACATGACTGGGTCAAAAGTTACACAACAAAAATTGCTAGATTTTCTGGCTTAATCTTGTTTATTTTAAATATATCTGACTATAACCTTGTTAATGTTCACTGCAAACATATTTCGTCCAAAAAAAATAATAATAAGGAATAAGGACTATGAGAAAATCGCTTTGATACTTTCGTCCAATGTTGCTTTCCTCCCCGCTCTCCCCTAAGTATTTTTACTTATAAATACTTCACAATGCACATAAAAATAGATGGATAGAAACATAGCTATTGTTAGTAGGCCAAACAGGAGATAATGCTAAAGACAGATGTGAAGCATAACTGTATTTGTCCCTCACCTTGTGGATCCACGTCTTTGGCCAGTTTAAGAGCATCAGAGTTAGCCAGATCCATGTTAGCGGGCGTCACAGCGAGGATGAGACAATTCTCTTTGCAGATGAACTGCATGATCATGTCTCTGATTTGGTATTCAATGTCAGCAGGCTGGTCTCCCACTGGCACTTTAGTTATGCCTGGAAGATCTATCAGAGTCAGGTTCAACACTGAAGATTGAAAAAGAGAAATAAAGAAAGAGAAATGTGAGAAGATATTTAGGTGGACAACATTACAACTCAAATGCAAATTAGCTATAACGCCACCACTTTATGTACTTATTTTTTTAGATATATTTTTGATACATATATTTTTTTAGAAATAAATGTTTTTAGGGCCCGTCCACTTGGAAACAGATAATGATTTTATCTACAAAAGATTAATATATAGTTTCGGTCTTTCTTTCACATAACACAAGCATTGTTTGTGCCCTGAAACAAACTTTTTTTGGATACTGAACAATCTGAAAACAACATACCTAGCATAGCCATGTAAATAGGCAAAACACCACTTTTAGGAAATAATGACATCACAATACCATATGACCAGAAGAAAAAGACAAAACCCTGCATGTAATAACTGCTAAGTAAAATAATGCCGGATTATGCAGCTTTTTTTTTGCTTCATGCGATGCCATATATACAACTGTTACACAAAACCTGTTAATGCTGTATCAACTAGACAACCAGCGGAGATGCAACAGTTACACGCATATTTTTTTAAGATGTACATGCGGCCGCCATCATATTTTTGTGTTTATGTTTGTATTTTTTATATTTTTATGTATCCTGCTCTATGTTTTCTTGCAGCACCACATACACTCACCAGTCACTTTATCAGGTACACCTGTCCAACTGCACATTAACGTAAATTTAGGATGGTTGGGTCAGAATTGGCATCAACAACATGAAAGCATGGATCCAACCCGGTACTAGTAAGGTGTACCTAATAAAATGGCCAGTGAATGTATATGTGTTGCATAAGTATTACACTGTTTTAACCCAGTTTTTTAAATTTTCAATTTAGAGCAGAAATTTTTATGAACAATTAATGTATAAATGCAAAACTTTTAGAATCTGCAAATGAAAAAAACAAAAACATGATTTTTCCATGTGGACGTAGCCTTAGAGAATCTTTTTTAGAGAGAAAAACGGAAAAAAATAAATAAATAGCAGTATTAATAGTATTAAAATGAATTCTTGTGTACTAAATTGACTGTTGAATATTCAGTTTTGCCATCACAGATATCATTTACATGGTGAGTTAGTTTAATAATATTTTTACAATAATTTAATTTATTGTATTTCTGATGAAAATAAGCAGCCTTGAAGGGCACTTTAATTTATTTTCTGACAATAATACCATTTGGAGAGAAGACACGAAGGTTAATGGGAATGGAAGAAATGCCCTTGTTTGTTCCCGTTACTCTGTCTGTCTCTGCTTCGATCTCCCGTCGGACATCATCAAAGTCTGTAAACTTCTTTCCTTTACAGTGCAGAAACTCTGCATGCTCTGCAGTGGAGAATGGAAAGAATGAATTAGAAAAAGCAGAAGATGATAGTGCCTTAGGGAACTGACAGCTCAACAGTTTTTAATTCATGAATCTCAAAGACAGGACAAACCTCCTTTCTTTATACACAGACTGATTTTAATATTCACAGGAGACACTGCCCTCTAGTGCCAGTCCACATTATACTAAAGACTGTTAAGTCACTTTTTTTAATTACTTAAAATCAACCAAAGTGTTTACATTTTTAGGTGTAATATCGCCCCTTTAATCATCAGGTAAAAAAATTTTCAAAACAAAACCATTTTTGTTGCACCTTACGCATCCAAGGGATTGATCATCCAAAGATTAAAATTTATTCATTTTACTCACTCCAGGCTTTTATGTGCTTTTTCTTTCTTTCTGTTAAACATCAAAGAAAATATTTTGAAGAATTTTGGAAACTGGAAGCCTTTGACTTCAATAGTAAGACAAAAATGACTATGGAAGTCAAAAGCTGCTGGTTTTCATTATCCTTGTGAGGAAAGAAGCTGAAACTGGTGTAACAAGCTGGTAAACAATCACTATTAGGTACACTGTTAGACCTTACCGGGGTTTTTTACAGTAGAATACTGGCAACACTGTTGCCAGCTACTCACTGTAAAAGTTCGGTTACAGTAAGTAACTGGCAACAGTGTTGCCTGTTAATTACTGTAACTGAACCATTACAGTGAGTGGCTGGCAACAGTGTTGCCAGTTTTCTACTGTAACTGAACCATTACAGTGAGTGGCTGGCAACAGTGTTGCCAGTTATTTACTGTAACTGAACCAATACAGTGAGTAGCTGGCAACAGTGTTGCCAGTTAATTACTGTAATAGAGCAGCAGTGGTAACTAACTGGAAACTGTGTAGAGTTAATTACTGTATTGTAGAGTTACAAATCACAGCATTATACTGCATACACATTAATAGTATGTCATATATAGTTATTGTAGTGTTACTAAAATTAATCAGTATTCTTAGCTGTTTTTTGAAAATAGAAGGCATAACATTTTTTCAGAAAAATTTATTTTATTGTTTTGGCACCAAACAAATAACAGAAAATGTCTAACAAAATTAAGAAATCAGCAGATATAAATAGTGTCTTACATATTACAGGTCTGCACAGTGAGGCTGCGGTCACACAAACGTTTAAGCATGCAATATTCTGTCATACTGCACTGCGAAGTGGAATTAAACAAAGCGAGTAGTGGAATTGAACAAAATAATTAGAGATTGAAAAAGCAAGCCAGAGAGGTCATGTCTTGATCTTTGATTGGTCTCAAGCAATCACATGATGTGATTTCGCATTCAGCGTTCTCCAAGCTTGAACTTTCCAATGCTGCGAATTATGAAATTTGTCGCATGAGCTATCATACCAGGTCTGCAGTACTCACATGCGTATGAATGGAAGTCTATAGGGAGAAAAGTGCAGTGTGACCGGGACTTTAAGCTGTAACTCTAATTAAACACACCTGATCAAACTAATTAAGGCTTGTTAGAAATCTACAGGTAACGTTGAAGCAGGGTGGATTCTAAACTCTGCTGCGCTGCAGTTCTCCAGGAACTTGGAGTTTGACCCCCATGGTATATAGCAGGGGTGCTTAATCCTGTTCCTGGAGATCTACCTTCCTGCAGATTTCAGTTGCTACCCATATCAAACACACCTGCTTGTAATTATCACGTGGTGTTCAGGTCCTAATTAATTGGTTTAGGTGTGTTTGATATGGATAGCAACTGAAATCTGCAGGAAGGTAGATCCCCAGGAACAGGATTGAGAACCCCTGGTATTAGCAATAATTTTAAAGCAACTGCCAACATTTATCACAATCACATATCCAATAAACACACACACACAAAGTGCTGCAGTGAAATGTGTTACTCTCTCCTCAATGCTGACCATGCAAAAAAAAAAAAAAAAAAAAAACTGAACAGCAAAAAACACAAAATAAATAATTTAAGTTTTAAAGTTTTAAATAATTAAAAACTGTGTCAAATCTCAATAAAAAGTTTAAAATAATTGTAGAAAACAAAAATAAAGTTGGCAACACTAAAAAACCAAAGGATCCAATCTTTTACTATTTTAATTATCTCATGACAACAAACTTTTTTATTGTTTCAAATATAAATTCATAGGTGGAAACACAGCTCGGAAAAATACTTAGCAACAAACTCACAACCTGGGACCGGATAGTGGAGCTTTTGTGTGTGGATGGCTATGTGTATCATGTTTTTGTGATTCCCTGTGATGATGTGCACATGTTACCTTACAGAGATGATGGAATTTATTTTTGGCTTAGTTGCAGAAAGATACATACAACTGTTAGCATCTGTACATTATGGCAGTATGCAATATCCAATAAATACATATACTTAAACAAAAGTAATGTAAGAAGTTATATGAGGAGAGGCTAACTAGCTAACAATGTAGCTTTCAAGTACACAATTCAATATAACAACAATATAACTTAAAACACAGCCTTATTTTAGAAACCCTCAAAAACATTTGAACACATTTTACTTACTCATTGTAGATTCTTATTTAAAGTATAAAACATATCAGAATCTACATCTGAATTGATGGACAGAGAATAGAGCACACTCAGCAGTAAACAAATCAAACACCTGGCTCCCTTAAAGGGCCAGCATTTTCTGAAAACTCTTTCTAACACCTTTGTGTTTAGAATAAGACGGACAGCCTGTGGGAATGTGTGCTGATGCCTAAATCATTGTTTTTTTTACAGTTATTTACTGCACAATCTACAGAGTAACAGTGCAATTATACAAATTAAACACACCTGATCAAACTAAATCTAAAGGTAGTGTGTTGAAGCAGGGCTGGAACTAAATTCTGCTGGGCTGCGGCCCTTCAGGAGTTTGACATCCCTGGTGCATAGCATATTTTCAAAGGAACTGCCTACATTTATCACAATCATGCACATATCATTGAATAAAATCAATAAAAATATAAAAACTTCATCCAAAGCAAAAAAAATAAAAATAAATAAATAATAATAATAATAATAAATAATCTGATCCACATGTTGTTCCAAACCTGTAGTAATAAAAAATAAATAAATAAATAAAATAACCTGATTACTACATTTATTTAGGAAAGTCTTTATACTATACTGTTAATGCCACTTTTACCTACTTCAGTTGAAGTTTTCCAGACAAATTAATTGAGTCTCTGCAAAAATGTATGTACGTGCTGTTTAAGATATTTTTTAAATAACACATTTTTACTAGTTATTTAGCAAAATACTAATATTCAGATTAAAGTGCAATTTAAAAGCTTAACTATTGGCTAAACTAGGCCAATTAGATTAATTATAGAAAAGTAAACAAAGTTATAAAAATGATTGTGATAATTTGGTTGCTCTGTGTGAATATTTTTGCCTTTAAATGCATCTCGTCGATATCTTTACCTTTTAATTAGCTCTGTGACATTGACATTGGTTGACTCCTGATACTCAATGTTAAAACCATAAAAGGAACCAAAGAAAACACAAAGATGGCTGCAGAGAAATTTAGCTTATCATCAATGCATTGTCTCACTTTCTCCTCAATACTGACCATACATATACCAAAACTGAAAAGTGTATGTATATATATATATATATATATATATATATATATATATATATATATATATATATATATATATATATAGCAACATAAAGCATCAGAGTACATGGGGTAATAATGGTTGAGCAGTAATTTACCATTTATTATCAAAGTAACTATCTGTAATGGATACATAAAGTAAATTACTGTAATTTATTCTTTGCACTACAAAATTTCATACAAATCCTGCTCCTTTTACAGTAAAATACTGTTTCCTTTTATTACAGCAAAACACTGGCTATTTTACAGTTATTTACTGCATAATCTACAGTAAGGGTTAACAGTGTAGGCAAACTGTCAATGTTTTTCATATTGTGTGACTATTTAAAAATCATTAACAAGTTTTTATTTTATGTATTTGCAAGTCAATGCCATGCCTTTAATGTATTTTTTAACATTATATTTATCATTTTATTATTTTTGCAAAGGATAAATGGGTTTGCTCCTAAGCTAATAAAAAGGGAAATTATACAATATATTATACAATTATATAATAAAAAGTATACCAAGATGACACTCATCGACAGCCATAATTGAAAATAATTTCTGCAACAACAATAACAAAAATCAGCAACACTTGACAAAAACAGTACATGAATAATGATGTATTAATATGAATTACTTTATTATGAACTAATGAAGAGTTAATGAATGCGCTAATCGTGAATTAACTTTAATTACAACATGTCACATGAGTTCATGCGTGAATAACAGCTCTACCTTAATTATTTTTAGTACATGCTTGTTAGTTAATTTATGTATTAACTACCACATTAGTTTATTTTTAATTTAACCATGATGAACTCATGATATTCGTCTAGTGTGCTTAAACTAAGTAACAACAGGAAAGTGTTCTGTCAATACCAACAAGAAGTTTAAACAAAGGAGTAGTTAAAAATGAGTTAATGGGGATGTGCCCCTTCAAGTAAAGTCATGACATAATTACACATTAACGGCTCATGTTGGTTACAAAAAAAATTTAAATGTTAATTAATACATTAATTAACAACATGTATTAACAAGTAATTAAAATAGCCACTGTATACTCATGAACGGTTCATGTTGTAGTTAAAGTTAGTTCATGATTAGCGCATGCATTACTCATCATTAATTCATGATAAAGTAATGTTTCATTGACATATTAATACATCATTATTCATGTACTGTTATTGTAAAGTGTTAACAATAAATCTACTGACTCTGAATCAGTTAGTTTGCTAAGACTGCCATAACTGGGTAACTGATTATTAGATAATTTGAGTGTGTTTCTGCATTTTACTAATTGTCTTTGTGTGTTGGTTGGTATATTTTACTTACTACACTGTCACACAAACTTTATGAGTGGTATATTTATTTTTGTATATTAATCAAAACAAAATTAACAGGAAACTGGAAATTCAACTGTTTGGCGCTACTGCAAACATGCCAATGTCAATGTTTTGTTACCTAATCGTCAAGTGTCACTGTAATAATCCCTCATACCTGAAGCTGAACTGATGAGCTGAAGGACAAGAGGTCTCCTTGTAACAATTCCAGAGCCTCTTGGCAGGAAATCTCTGAAAGAACAGAATGAACCATGTTTAATAAATATCACTTATACAGTACACACTAATAAAATTGTGTGCAAGCCAAAAATAAAACTCTCTATCTAAAAAAAAGTACACATGAAAACTACACATGATACACAGTTGCAGTCACTGTCTGAGGCATGGAGCCAAAGTCTCTGTCACTGCATGCTTGGACTACTTCAGCCTCATATTCTGATATTTATGGCACGTTTACAAACTTGTACTGGCCTGTACTTTTATAAATGAGTGGTAGGACAATTCAGCCTTAAATAATCAGAAAGTAGTCAGTTCACGATTCAGAAGCAGTTCATTTTCAACATCTACTGTCTGTGCAGAGGACATGAGCACACTCTATAAATAAACCAGTCTAGTATGGAGGAACTGCAGTTGGGTGAAGTCAAATTCCTCTTACTCCTGTTTACATGGCGATGGTACACAGAGAATCCTAAACATTATGACCATCTGCCTAAGACAGTATGACTGCTATTTGGCCTAAAATGTCATCGGCCTAATATGCAGTTGATCTTTCTCATACTGCCCACCAGCACTGACCCATAGGCATGGGGTTTTTAGACCTCCTTAAATTTTTTCCTCTGCTACTAAGACATTAAACACAGATTCCCATAGATTATGTAGCCATAGACAAAGTACGCAAATCAGCCCCTTGAGTAAAAGTACAGATACCCTAATAAAATATTACTACCGTTGCAGTTTAAAGCCCCCCTTTTCAGTATTATTTAAGCCAAAGAACAAAAGTACTTGATTTGTAATTTACTTAAGTGATAAAAGTAAAAGGACTTACTGATGAATGTTTATTTGTCAACAAAGTTGAATTACCAAAATGTGTCATACTCTAATAACCACATATAATTTGTGGTAATTCAAATGAAAACACGTGTAACCACAATAAATTGCTGAACCTCACTGAGATCACTTTGTAAAATCAGTGAATCATTTACTCGAGTCTCAATAGTTCCTTTGAATTGGTGAGTTGTTAACTCGAGACTCATTCTGAATGGATCATTTGAATCAGTAAGTTGTTTACTGGAGACTCAATCTTGATTGATCATTTAAATCAGCAAATCCTTTACTGAAGGCTCACTTTGAATAGATTACTTGAATCGGCGAGTTGTTTACCGGAGACTCACTCTAAAAGGATCATTTGAATCATTGAGTTGTTTTCTGGATACTCACTCTGAATGGATCATTTGAATCAGCAAGTTGTTTACCAAAGACTCACCCTGTAAGGATCATTCCAATCAGTGAGCTCTTTCCTGACTCAATCTGCATAGATCATTTGAATTAGCTAGTCTTTTACTTGAGACTCACTCTGAACAGATCATTTGAATCAGCAAGTTGTTTACCGGAGACTCACTCTTAATGGATAAGTTGAATCAGTGAGTTGTTTCCTGGAGACTCACTCTGAATGGATCATTTAAATCAGTGAGTTGTTTACTAAAGACTCACTCTTAATGGATCATTTGAATCAGTGAGTTGTTTCCCGGAGACTCACTCTTAATGGATAAATTGAATCAGTGAGTTGTTTACCAAAGACTCACACTTAATAGATCTATCGAATCAGTGAGTTGTTTACCAGAGACTCACTCTGAATGCATCATTTGAATCAGTGAGTTGTTTACCAGAGACTCACTCTGAATAGATCATTTGAATCAGCAAGTTGTTTACCAAAGACTCACCCTGTGAGGATCTTTCGAATCAGTGAGTTCTTTTCTGACTCAATCTGCATAGATCATTTGAATTAGCGAATCATTTACTTGAAACTCACTCAGAAAAAATCATTTGAATCAGTGAGTTGTTTCCTGGAGAGTCACTCTTAATGGATCATTTGAATCAGCGAATTGTTTACCGGAGACTTAAGCTGTGGTCACACTGGGCTTTTCCTCCCATAGACTTCCATTTATACGCACGCAAATGCATCAGACCAGAAACGCTGGGTCATGCGTTAAGTTTTGGTGGTTGCTGCGGTGCAAAGTTCAAGCTTGGTAAACTCTGACCTGCGAAATCGCATCACTTGACTGCATGAGGCCAATTGAGGATCAAAACACGACCTCCCTGTACAGAAATTTAAAACATGGAGCAATCGCTCGCTTTTAAAAATGTCTAATCATCTTGTTTAATCCCGCCCCTTTTCGTAGCTCCGCACGACAGAGTTTCGCACGCACAAACGTTGTTTACCAAAGATTCACCCTGTAAGGATCATTCGAATTAGTGTGTTCTTTCCTGACTTAATCTGCATTAATCATTTGAATTACCGAATCATTTACTTGAGACTCACTCTGAATAGATCATTTGAATCAGTGAGTTGTTTACTGGAGAATCACTCTAAATAGATCATTTGAATCAGTGAGTTCTTAACCGGAGACTCACTCTGAATGAATCGTTTGAATCTGTAAGTTGTTTCCTGGAGACTCACTCTGAATGGATCGTTTGAATCAGTGAGTTGTTGACTGTGCGTGACTACAGTTCCTCTGCTTTGACAAAATTCTAAACATTTACACTTTAGACATGATGGACCTCAATGAGGAGTTGACTCATACCTTACTCCTCGGGGCCACTGGAAAAAGAACAGCAGCTCAATAAAGCTGCATGTTGAGTAACAATCATAAAATACCACCCATGAGTCAATATAAACACACAGTAGATGCTGAAAGATGCAGATATGCTTTGTATTGTCAAAGCCACAATTTCCAAATAGGAAGACCCAGATACCTGCATGATCATTTAGATATACATTACTCTGATATAAATAAGTTACAGTAACTACGAGAGCTCTTATTTTTAATACATCTAATCTTCCTAAATGCTAATATCTGTCATTATTAGATTATCCCAAAAAGTGTAAACATCATCATAGTTCTGTTTATCTAGCTGATTTAATATCGTGGACCTCCCTGACATTCAAACATTTAGGTTTTTTATTCAATCTACTTTAAAAGAGGAAATTAACAATGATGGGAAAAGTTAGACTTTTCCATGGGAAAATGTGTTTTCCATTTGCTCTGATAAACTCCGGGATAGTGATGAAGACACTGAAGCGCACGATGAAGAAGATAGTGAAAATAGGGTGTGCACAGATCTAAAACAGAACCATTGCTTAAAATAGAGGGGACGTCCCACTGGATTAGACCTAGTTAAAGGCATACAGGGAGAGGAGAAGGATGCAGGTAGAACGGCATAGATTGCAGCAGTGTTGATTTCTTTTTTTTTTTTTTGGGGGTGTGTCGGGGCAGCAGGTGGGGTGGGGTGTAGCATCATTCTTGTTCTCTTAACCACTTTTTTTCCCATTATCATAAAGTTTATGATAACCAAGAGTACAAAGCTCAATGTAGGCTATTAACAAACTTTATTAACAAGTTCTTTCAGTCTCATTAAAAAAGGTAAATGATTAATAACAGCTTTCAGAAGCATTCTTTCAAACACGATGAGTGTGTAAAAGCAGGCTTATCGTATAAGTTCAGTCATTTGACATGATGACACACGTCAACCTCTGTAGTCCTATTTAGCCATCTCTTATAACTCACCCTATGGAAAATACCTTGAACTTGTGTTAATCACATGCATTATTTCAGGAATTTTACTATTAAAAAAAAGCCACTGCCTTCACGACAGAAATGCTAAAATCCTCATTTATTAAAAGTTTTTCCTTGCAATTCCTGCAGCACGCTATGTCATGGCTGGTTACAAGAACGCTGACCCAGTCGCAGTAATAAACTATACAAAGGGGTTTATTGACAGAATTAGGCACAAGTAGACAGACAAGGGGAAGACAAGGTCTAAACAGTAGGGGCAACAACACTGTGGTAGAGATAAAATGGCACCAAAATGAATAGCCAGCCAGAGCTAGATCCTAGAGCAAGCCATGTAAACTCCAGACTGGCAGGCCAGGACACAATAGGACAGGAAAAAAGACAGAAAACAGGACAGCAGCAATAATATACAAAAAAATAATAAAACTAGGCAAATAAAAAAAAAAAGCTACAGGAAATCAAATAGAATTCCTTGTAAAAAGAACAACTTCCTTGACTTGGGCAATTAAAAAAAAATTTAAGAACTGAAATAGGACACAAGACAAGCAACAAACAGCACAATATATAGAACAAAGCATAGGAGAGACAGGTGAAAACAATCAGGATGACATGGTCTAAATAAGAGGCCGGGGTAACTAAACGCAAAGAGGAAAGACAAGAGAAGACATGGATGAATGGATGAATGATACAGGCATGTATGACTAGTATTGTTCAAGTCAAAACAAAAGCAATAAATAAAACTTACTTACAACTTACTTAAAATAGCAAACAATAAAATTCCTCCTATGCAATAGTCATCATTCAGAATGCAAGACACAATTAAAAGTATTAATCAAAAAGTAGTACACCATGTTAATTATTATATTATCATTGCCAATCAGTCCAAATATTTTGATCAAAAAGTGCTTCAGATGCCAACTTCAGACATCTGCGGGTCGGGCAGATGCAACAAAGTCTTTGACTTCTGCAACCAACCAAGTCTCTTTCTCTCTCTGGGCCTTGTTGCAATTGTTGATTTGACTGGAAATAGTAGAGCTAGTCTAAGTCTGAGCCTGTAGAGCTTCAACATCAATGTCTATATATTTGGAGCGTTCTTCTATTACCTCTGGAGCATAATCCTCAAAAACAGTGATTTATGTGCCACGATAGAAAAACTTCCCCTTATTGCTTTGACTTTGCGGATAATCTTTTCCTTTTCTTGGAATTTGTAGCCGAATTATGACAAATTTGGGTCTCGGGACAAGTTTTGGTTTCTGTGAAAGTGACTGGTGAGCTCTATTGCATTTCGGTGGAGAATTCAAAAGTCTGTTGCCAAACACTTCAACAAGAAGCTTGGTAAAAAAAGGCAATTGGCCAGGAACCTTCAATATCTTTAGGGAGTCCAACGATCTGTTTGTTGTTGCGTCAGCTACGGGTTTCAAGATCTATGAACTTGGCGAG